TTTTATAAAGAGAATGACAAAAAACTTCATGATCATCCCAAAAAGCACAAACAAGCCATCAAATGCCCTATTGGATTAAATGGTTGGGAATGAATACCGAATTAACAAATACCGTATATGCAATTTAGATACCGAATTTACACATATAGTATATGTAACATACTGCATTTAAACATATCGTATCTGCAGCTTACCGTATATACAGCCTATTGTATATGTAACAGCTTACCGTATTTGCATATACCGGTCTTACATATACTATATATGCATTGAACTTGGATACTAACCAAAATATAGCAGATTAAATTACAATAAACTGAATAAATTAATTTAGTTCTCCAAATAAAGATTAATTTTTAATAAAACAAAACAAGTAAACTAATTAGCCAAAAGCAAGAAATATTTCAACCGAGGCTTGTGTGAACACTGTTTCCTGAAAATAAATTTATCTCCCTCATCGTAGGTGCTTGAGGATTAAATCGAACGTTTATCTCTCAGGATACAACAGATGGCCAGTAGGATTTGAACACCTCAAATACTACTTTGTCGAACTGAATTTGTGTTTGAACAATATCATCGACTGTGTGACTATGCAGTATGCAGACCAAAATATGCAGAAACTATGTTTTGTAAATATGTGCAGAAACTATATGCTGCAAAGTTTTCTCTTGTTTTTTCTTCTTGTGTAGAATTGTTAGAAATCAGGTTATATATAGGCTCAGCACCATGAATGCCATTAACTCATATATAATAACAATGAATATTGGAGTTTCAGAATTCAAATGGTCAGTTGGAAGAAAAAAATTAGCAAAACATAGGCTTTTGTAAAGGGTCAATTTTCACTTCCAAAGCTTATTTTAGTTCGATTTGCCCTTCTGCTCGTGTACGTAGAGAGAGCTTCTATGCTACATATGATCACACCATTCCAATGTGCAATCCTATTTAATGTTATATTTGTTTTCATAATTTTTCTATATGGGACAACCTTAAATGATTTCCCTCCAACAACATAAACTCCTTTTAATTGACACACTTTGAGCTCCAATTTCTTATTTACCTGAATATCATTTTTGGCAAGTAAATACATGATTTCGATATTCTCACAGAGGAGAACACAAATTAATCTTGAACTTCCCAAATAACGAACCGGGTTCCTCTCAAATTTGGTACCAAAGTTAGCCACTCAACCCATTTTTTTTTCCAACAATCTCCCATATGAATGAAAATTGGGAGAGACACAAGACTGTGAAACAAAAGACTTGGTGATAAAATTCAACGGTTGAAACCTGCATAGGATAGGTAGGTATTACCCTTTGAACATTTCTTTGTCAAAATATATTTACTTTATTAGCTTACCAGTAGATGCACGATTTTTGGACTGTTCTTCCGTTGTGTAAATGATGATATACTATACACAGGATTCTTCCTAACACAATTCTATTTTCATTATTATGCTCGTTTTGGCCATGAACATACACCTAGTTCTGTGAGAGTTTATAAGAATTGAGCCCTTACAATTTTTTTAGAAGCGGCCCCACTTCTCTCTCACATAGATGATTTCTTATTACAAGTAACTCGTATTACTTGGCTCAAATTTTGATGCATAAGGATCATTAAAATCCTATTACTTATCCTTTATCTTTATGGGCATCATTGTTACATCAGAGGAATGGACAGGATGTAACATCCCCCACAATGAATTAATTAAGTCTTTACAATTAGGTTGTCTCTTTGTACCCAGATCTTGGGATCTCCAGTAAACTAGTTTGAGTTTCCTTTGTAATAACTTATCCGTTCAAGTGCTTAAGTCCCATTCTTCTCGATGATTTCTCAACTAACTCTCTATTTAACCCTTTGATTAGCAGATCCGCAATGTTATCTTTTGACCTCACATAATCAATAGTGATAACTCCAATTGAGATTAGTTGTCTTATTGTATTATTTCTACGATGCATATGTCTAGATTTATCATTGTACATGTTACTCTGTGCCCTTCCAATTGCTAATTGACTGTGACAATATATGTAAATTGTTGGCACAGATTTTGACTATCTTAGAATATCCTCTAAGAAGTTGATTTTAGATTGATGTTGACTTGTATCTATCGGTGTTCTAGCTAAACCAGTATCATTCTTATTGAACTTTTCTAAGTTTTTGTTCATATAATGCGACTGACTTAGAACAAGCCCATTTGATGTTCTTAAAATTTTGACTCCAAGTATGACATCCACTAAATCATATCTTTCATGTCAAATCTGGAATTTAACATATCTTTAGTGGATTTAAACATCTTATTGTCATTGCCAACAATAAGCATGTCATCAACGTATAGACATAAAATGACATAACAATCTTCAGTGTCTTTGATATAAACATATTTATCACTCTCATTGATTTTAAATCCACTTTCCATCATGACATTATCAAATTTTTCATGCCATTATTTTGGTGCTTGTTTCAAGCCATATAATGATTTAACCAATTTACAGACTTTCTTTTCTTGCCCTGTGATAAAAATATCTCAAGTTGTTCCATATAAATTTCTTCTTCTAAATCTCCATTTCAAAAGACAGTTTTAACATATGTACTTTAAGATTTCGCAGAGCGACAATTGCAAGTATCATCCTAATACACGTCATTCCCGTCACTCGAGAATACGTATCAAAGTAATCAAGGTCTTCCCTTTATTTGTAACCTTTTATTTCTAATATAGTCTTATACTTTTCGATAGTTCCATCTGCTTTCATTTTTCTTTTGAAAATTCATTTTTAGCCTACTGGTTTACTTCATGGAGGAAAATCCACTAGCTCCTATGTATGATTTTGTAGTATGAAATCTATTTCACTTTTAATGACATCTTTCTATTGAGGTCCTTCTGAAGAATTTACAACTTCTTGATCACTTTGAAGTTCACTTTCTAGCATGTAAGTCAAAAAATCAGGACCATAAGATTTTTCTATCCTTTCATGTCTGCTAGTTCTAACCTCAATCTCTTCTTCTAATTCTTGCTCATAACTATTTTCAGTCATAGTATCTTATGTTCGTTTAGAGGAGGTTGCTTCCTCTTTGGACTTGTGCGAAAATACATGTTCAAAGAATGAAGTATTTCTTGATTTTAATATCGTGTTTTTGTGTATGTCTGAGAATTTAGAATCATACACAAGAAATCGATAAGCACTACTATTATGTGCATAGCCAATGAAGATGCAATTTACTATTTTTGAGCATATCTTTACCTTTTTTGGTATTGGAACAGCCACTTTGGCAAGACATCACCACACTCATAAGTATTTATAAGAAAACTATCTTCCTTTCCATAACTCATAAGGGGTCTTTTCCATTTTTTTTCGGGGCATCTTATTTAAAAGGTAATTTGCTGATAACATAACTTCTCTCCACATGTTTTGAGGTAATTCAGAACTTACTAGCATTACATTCATCATTTCTTTTAAGGTACGATTTTTCTGTTTAGTAATACCATTTTGTTGCGGAGAATAAGATGCAGTGATTTTATGTATGATTCCATGGCAAGACATCACCACACTCATAAGTATTTATAAGAAAACTATCTTCCTTTCCATAACTCATAAGGGGTCTTTTCCATTTTTTTTGGGGCATCTTATTTAAAAGGTAATTTGCTGATAACATAACTTCTCCCCATATGTTTTGAGGTAATTCAGAACTTACTAGCATTACATTCATCATTTCTTATAAGGTACGATTTTTCTGTTTAGTAATACCATTTTGTTGCGGAGAATAAGATGCAGTGATTTTATGTATGATTCCATATTGTACACATAATTCAGCAAATGATGCTTCATACTCACTACCTCGATCACTTTGCAGCACTTTAATTTTCTTATTAAGTTTATTTTCAACTTTATTCTTATAGAGAGCAAATTTCTCTATAGCTACGTCTTTACTTTTAAGCAGATACACATAACAGTATTTTGTACTATCGTTGACAAAAGTAATAAAATACTTGTTACCATAGTTATTAGACCTGACATGGATGTCAACCCGAATAATGCGGTGGGTTAATGAGTTAGTGGTTTAATCGGTGACCCGGTGCTGAGCCATCGGGTCAATTCCTATCAAAAACTATTATTATCTATTTTCATTGAATAATAATTTTTTTTCCATTTTCTACTAATAAATCATTTTGTATAGAGCATGCACCCAAATCACGACGAAATGTTTCCAACTCATCATCTACCATATTCGGTGGATCCTCCTCTAACACCCAATTACCATAAATGCCAAACCTTTCGAAGTCGATAGGATCATAATTTCTATTTTTGAAATAATTCCTAAACAAAGTTCATTATCCAATTTATAATTAATCAAAATATAATTCTAGTAAAAGAAAGCAAAATCTTAAAATTTAAAAAAAATCACAAAAAGATGAAAAGATTTATTTAAATAAAATTACCGTTGTTGCAATTGCAAATTATAGTGAACATAAACAAGATCAGTAAGCCTTTGGTGCTCGAGTCTATTTCTCTTTTTAGAATGAATATATTCAAATATACTCCAATTTCTCTCACAACCTGAAGAACTATATGTTTGACTTAATATTCGAATTGCAGGTTTTTGTAGATTTGGTGCACTACTACCATAACACATCCATCATTCATCTGTATCAAAACAAAGAGGAATTAAAATAGGCATATGTTAAATAAACCAAAATCTGAATAGTCACCATGTGCTTGCCTAAATAGTCTCATTTCACAAGTTTATTTGCTTCTTAAATTAGGTTGACCATAAGCATATCTCTTGATTACATTTAAAAGTCCTGAAATAGTATGTCTATGATTTTCCATATTAGGATTATTGTATTGGAAAGAAGGGTTTAACCAATATCCAGCGACGTGAAGATTCTTACGCAATTGGCTATCCCATCGATTCTAAATAATTTGCAAATAAGAAGCCACTCTATTCTTCCGTCTTTGAAATTTGCGCTTCATCTCACTTTTTGCCACATGAATAGCTTCATACAATTATCCCATCAAAGGCCTTTCATCACTATCAACAATTCGTAGAACACGAATGAGGGGCTCAGTAAGTTGCACCATAGTAGTGCATTCTTTCCAAAACACAGAATCAAGTACTTCATCAACAAATCTTTTTTCCTTTACTTTCCTTTGCATATGTTGATAAGTCCATTCTCTAGTTGTCACCATTGCTCTTAATGGATCTTTTTGTGCCAATATGCTTTGTAGAGTAATAAAGTTAGTGGCAAAATGAGTAGTAGCGGGTCGAAGTATTTCCTTTCTTTTGGCAAACTTCCTCATCAAATGTAATGCGTAGTAATGGTTGTATATGTATTTCGTGATTTTTGATGCTTGAGATACTACATTACTAACTTCATTAAGCTTACCAATATCATGAAACATTATATTAATGCAATGGGCTGCACATGGAGACCAAAATAATGTTTGAAACTCTTGCTCCAATAACCTACCAGCGACAACATAATTTGCAACATTGTTCGTCACCATATGAACCACATATTCTGAACCTACAAATAATACAACATTTCAAAATAACTTGTATAACATGTCAGCACTTTTTGATTTATTTGATGTATCTGTGGATTTTAAGAATAATGTTCCTTTCAAACAATAAACTAAAAAATTAATAAGAGTTATTTTACATTGATCTGTCTAACAATCTGCCATAATTGTACAACCAGTCGTCTTCAATGTTGAACGATAACTTTCAACATAATTCTTTACCTTCTAGATATTTTTAGCCAACAAATAACCACGAAGACTGTGAAAGTTCGGGCCTTTATAGCTAGGACCCATGCTAGCTATGACATCTATACTTTGTTGATAATACACAAAATTTACAGCATTGAAAGGAATACACGAATCAATCATCCATTTCAATATAGTGAAATCACATTTCTCTATAGCTTCTTTACTCTGAAGAACACTTTTGATTGTTGGTTGATTACCAAGTCCTGTTCTTGGCATGAAGTAAGAACCAATTCCTTTTTGTTCTTTTAAATCTGCAGTTCTCATTCCCTTTCTTTCATTTTTTCCAATAACTACACCCTTTTCTTTAGAACTAAGAGGGATGATTTCTTGAACATCATCGTCACCTAAATCTCTATACATTTGCTCTTCTTGTTCTTGATAATAAAAATTATGTGGGTTACACTCATCAAAAATATCTTTAGTTTCCTGCATTTTTGCAGCAAAGATTTCCAAGTTTTCCTTCATCTTGAATCTAACATCAGGAGGTACCCTACGACACGAATCCACGTCACCTTTTAATCCCGCTAAATGTTTTTTGACTTTATTAATACCACCTCTAGCGAAAGTCTTACCAAAATACAAGCAAACAAGTATTTTTTTTTTAATAATTATTTCCAATAGAACTAGCTTCAACATCCCCATGCTATATCTGTTCTTCCTCTAGCACGATTCTTCGGTAGAGTAGTACTTTGCGGTGTACTATTATCATTTGTGAACTAAAAAAAAATAAACTCAAAGCATATAAAAACAGTGATCAGCAACATTAATGTAAAATGACACCAAGCCAGCATATATAAAAAGGGATCATTGTTATCCCATGTTTTGTGATTATATGCATCTTTATATATATCAGCTCTACTAGCTGGTTTCCTACCTTCTACCTTTGCCAAGCCCCGACTACAGAGTTTTACTCTACCATATTGTTTTCTTTTGTTAATTTTTAAATTTGAACAGTCGACCTCTCAAACGGATGCACAGAACTAATTAGTTGGTTAAGAAGGAATCACTATGCATGTTAATAAAAGAAACTAGCTCAGTTATCGATTATTATTAATTAGTCCGATATGAGGGATTTCTAACTGTACTTTTACACGTGCACTATCTTGTCATGGAAAAGTAACCATAGCTGATGGGCATAAAGTCAAATACCTGAGTGAATTTGAAGCTATGAAAAAATGAATGTTGCATTACTAATATTGTAATGCCCGAAACACTATATCAGTTTTGCTAGAATACTTTGAAAACGGAATTATGACCCAGAAAATTTCAATTCAAAAAGGGCTGTAAAGACCAATTCTCCCCAACCGTTCCTTTGTAGTTTCAAAATAGAAAATAAAATGCAATCATTCATAGTCTCAAGACATAGCTAGCCCAAAAATTTATTTAACACAATAAGTATTTCAAATCCACAAGCAAACATGTGAGGAGAGTTCAAAACCATAGTGTTGTATCACTATGTCAGTATGTTGTATGTTTTAGTAAAGTGAATGGAGCATTATCACAATATGTATAATACACTTCCCAGAAAGCACATCCAATTCATTTAATAACTTGACTTTATATATATATATATTTGTGTGTATGTGTATGCATTCTAATTTCAAAATCTCAGTTGACATAAACAAAAGGGGACTATATCATTTGAATAATTAGAACAGGTAAAATACCCAAAAATTGAAGTCCATGACATACACAAAAGGGACTATTTCAACCAAAATAAGCAAAGTGAAAGGGGGTAGTTTCAAAGTCGAAGAACAGGTGCAAAATGGAAAAAAAAAAAATTGACTTACCTATTCTTCTTTCATCTATTAAAACTTCAAAGTGGAGATTAGAATTTTTGGGAGTTTTTGGATTGCAAAGAGATTGAGAGACCGGACAGAGTTATTGTATGCTTGAAACTTTGAGGAAGCAAGAAGCCCTAACGTGATTTTGTTGGAATAATTAATAATTCCATATGCGGGCTTCACATTCGATTGCAAAATTTTACGGGTTAGATATATGGCTCATAATGATATTTGTGTTTGGGCCAAATTTATTAAGTGATCAATTGGGCCTTTTACACCTTACGGGTTGTAATTAATTTGATGTGGTAATTTAAAGTATGTGGACCGGAAATAAACCCTAATTAGAATTCTAGTCGTAATGGGACGGTTCAATTATTTCTTATATATAAAGGCTAGGTCCCCTCTCCTCTCCATATGTTTTTATTGGCTTGTCCCATTGATAGCTATTACTTTGTGAGAAGTAAGGAGGGGAAGATCTTGGCTACTATTACAACAATTATTCATATCAACAATGGCTTCCGCAGGTATGAATTCGATTTATCAATTTATTATTATGTGATTCTTGTTCTTAGCATGATTACAATAAAATTCAACAATTGGTATCAGAGCCTGCATGCTAAGATCAGATTTATTCAAAAATAAAAAATAAAAATAAAATAATAAAGCAGGAGGTTTGGTAATCTGCATTCGGATTCTGACTGGTAAAAGAAATTACATACGAGTAATATTCTTGTTATAATAAAACTCCTGTTTTGCCTAATTTATGTATTAAATGATTGCCATGTTGTCAGAATTCTGCCTTGTGTGTCTCAGTTTCATGATTTAACACGTAAACCAATGGATTTTGAATTTAATAATGATACACATGTTGGACAAAAGTTTATATAAATGAGTATGCTATAGTTTATGTGTATATGTGGAGATTCTTTTCGTCCAAATTTATTTATTTGGCTATTAACGATTCTTGAAAATAAAATTGAATCCCTAACGTTAGGGAAGTAATATTTTAATATAAAAGGTACTGGCAATTATAGTATAATTACAATATGTATACTTAATTGGTGCCGCATGTCAAGACGAAAAATTGGGTCTTCTTTAGGGTTTCTCTGTTAAAAAAGAAAAAAGAAAAAAAAAAGACCCAGTTTCTATCGTTTTGGGAGAGATGTAGACGAGGGCTCCTGTTGTAAATTGTTAAGTTCCTAGCCCCTGTTTGCAATTACAAATTGGGGGGGTTAAGTTTGTAAATAATAAGTGAAGGGTCTGCTTGTAATTAAAGAAAATAAGGACCAGGCACGCAATTTTAAATAATGAAGGACCTTATTTTAATTTGTGTTTAGTATGTAATTTTCAATAAGGGGCTCTTAAATTTGAACTTCTAAACTTTTGACCCTAAAATTTTATTTTTGACCAAATTAAAACTTTATTTAAACTTGACCCGATTAAAATTATATGTTGAATAAATAATAAAATTAATTGACGACTTTTGTATTATTTCATTAAAATGTTATGTATTGCCATTATTTAAGCGTTAAATTTTATTTTGAAATTTTGTTGCCAATTTCGTCTCTTAATATTAATCACGTATGTATTTCTTGTCTTTCATCAATTAATGATCATGATTTGTTGGATAACTTTTGTGATTGAATTTTTATGAATTTTGAGATGATCCTTATTTGTCCCCACAAAGAGAAATATTTTGAAATAAAAATGGGTGGTAGCTGCCAAAGTGGCACACTCATTATTATTTATTTGAATTTCTCTACAATAAAAACACATATATTTTTTCCCAACAACTTTTGATTTATTGCATATAATATCTTATCCAAAGGTGTTATTATATGTAATATTTTTGGAAAATGGCATGAGAAAGTTAATGAGCTTATTTTGGTTTAGAAATTTCCTTCTGCCCAAAGGTGTTGGTATTTCGAAAATCAGTGTAATTTTGTTAACTAACTACATGATGTGTTTTAAGAGTACCTTATAACATGTTGTATTGTCGATCCAAAAGTAACTTTATGATGATGTACCTAGACTTTTACCATAATAAAATTCATATGTTTCGATTTAAATTACGGATTATCTAATTAATTGCCCATATTAATTAGTTGGATTTTTCATCATCTATTTGATTGCATGCATTAAGTTTGGATGATATTAAGAGTGATATTTTATGTTTTCACAGTTTATAATGCCTCATCTCTTTCGAATCAATTGTCTGCTATTGAAACTTTAACTGGGAATAACTATGTGAGATGAAAACGAGACGTAGAAATAGCGCTTGGTCTTTTGGGCTTGGATTTTGCAATGGAGAAAAAGCTTGAAAAACCTACAGATAAGAGTACCGTTGAATATGTAGCTGAGCATGAAAAGTGGGAAAGGGCTAACAAACTCTGTTTGAAAATCATTAAGCGATCAATATCTGATTCCATTCTAGGTGCCATCCCTGATAATGAAAATGCCAAAAGTTTTATGGATGCCATAGGAGAAAAATTTATTGAGTCTGATAAAGCTGAAACTGGGGATCTGATGGATAAATTTATGAGCGTGAAATATGACGGTACAAGTGGAGTTAGGAAGCATGTCATGAAAATGATAAATATATCATCTAAACTAAAGGCTCTTGACATTCCCATTGCGGAGCCTTTCCTGGTCTATCATGTTTTGAATAGCCTTCCTAGCAAGTTTAATCAGCTTAAAGTTGCTTACAATGCTCAGCGGGATAAGTGGAATTTGAATGACCTCATAGCAGTGTGTGTCCAAGAAGAGTATAGGATGCGCCGTGAAACTGTTGAAACTGTGCAATTAGCTTTTCAGCCATCACAGAATAGGGGGCCTTCTCATAATCATAAACCTAAGTTTCGTAAGGGTAATAAGTCTCACCAAAGTCAACAGAATAAAAATTTTAGTGGTCCCAAAGGAGTTATAAAGAAAAATGATCAATGTAAGTTCTGTAAAAAGAAGTGTAACTGGCAGAAAGATTGTTTTAAGTTCAAGAATTGGTTGGAAAAGAAGAAGAGTTCTCTAGGTATTCCCTTGGCCTTAGTTTGTTTTGAGTCTTCTTTAGCAGATGTACCTTTGAATTCTTGGTGGTTAGACTCGGGAGCTAGTATTCATATTGCGAATTCCTTGCAGGGGTTTATAAGCAAACGGAGGCCAAGTGAGAATGAAGTAAGCTTGATCGTTGCAAATGGATTCCAAGTGAAAGTTGAATTCATAGGAGTAGTGAAGTTAACTTTAGAGTCTGGTTTTTATCTTGTTTTGGAAAATACAGTTTATGTACCGCAGATGAGACGGAATTTAATTTCTATACCAAAACTTGATGCTTGTGGTTTTACATTTAATTTTGGTAATGGAATGGTTAAGTTATTTAATGATTCTCGTTTGATTGGAAATGGCATTTTATGTGATGGTTTATACAAATTATCTTTGGCTTCTTTTGGTGATATCTCGTGTGTTACAAATGTATTAAAGAAAAGGGCTTTAATTCGCGAATCATCCTCTATGTTGTGGCATAAGCGATTGGGTCATATTTCTAAGGATAGAATGGAAAGATTAGTAAAAGATGAGATACTTCTTTCCTTAGACTTCTCCAATTTTGACACCTGTATAGATTGTATAAGAGGAAAGTTAACTAAGTCTACGAGGAAGGGTTCGACTAGGAGTAATGAAATTTTGGGGTTAATTCACACTGATATCAGTGGACCTCTGCTTTCCACTATATGTGGGAATAAATATTTCATAACTTTCATTGATGATTTCTCACGATATGGATATGTTTATTTGATTAACGACAAATCACATGCACTTGAGAAATTCAAAGTTTTTAAAATGGAAGTAGAGAAACAATGTGGGAAAAGT